ATCTAGCAATGTAATTCAATCGTCCCAAGAAACTTCTAACTTCTTTCTCTGTTTGGGGAGATGGCATTTCTCGAATTGCTCTCACTTTATCTGGATCTACTTCTATCCCTTTACGACTCACAATGAATCCCAATAACTTCCCAGAAAGAGCTCCAAAAATGCATTTGTTAGGATTCAATCTTAGCCGATATTCGCGTAATCTCCCAAATAGCTTTCTAAGGACTCCAACATGACTCTCATTCTCCGCTGATTTAGCTACCATATCATCTACATATACTTCAATTTCTTTATGCATCATGTCATGGAATAGTGCTACCATAGCTCGTTGATAAGTTGCCCCAGCATTTTTCAAACCAAAAGGCATTACCCGATAACAATAAGTTCCCCATTGGGTTGTAAAGGTTGTTTTCTCTTTATCCCTTTCATGCATAGGGATTTGATTGTACCCTGAATAACCATCCATAAAGGAATAGCGATAGCTTCGAGCAGTATTATCGACCAATACATCAATGTGGGGTAATGGAAAGTCATCTTTCGGACTCGCATTATTTAGATTACGATAATCAACACACATTCGAATCCGACCATCTTTTTTAGGAACAGGAACAATATTTGCCACCCATTGTGGGTAAGTTACTACCTCCAAAAATCCTGCTTCTAACTGCTTTATTACTTCTTCTTTTATTTGCAAGGACACCCCCGTGTTCATTCTCCTTAACTTCTGTTTCTTAGGCTCGACCTTGGGAAGTAATGGTATTTTATGAGAAGCAATGCTTGGGTCTAGCCCAGGCATGTCTTTATATGACCATGCAAACACATCTATGTATTCTTTGAACAACTCAATCATTTGTTCCCTTTCAGGATTATCTACTATTTTGAGCATTCTTTGATCCTCCTCGGTTCCCATATTAACCATCTCAATCACTTCTTCATGTGGGCATATTCCCTTATCACTCAATTCAAGCATCTTTGAAAAAGTTTGGATTATGTCTTCATCATCAGACTCACAATCATGCATATCAGTGGCAACGAATGAATCATCTTCACAGGGTTTATTAATCTCTGGGTGGGAGATGGAATCAGAAGAAACAAAATCCCTGGATAATGAATATGGAACGAGATAAAATAAGGAACAGGAATGAAACGGAGAAAGATGTATTGAAGTAGATAGGGTGGAATAAAGAAATAGACATGAATGCAATTGAAATTCATTTTCATGAATTATGTGTATCAAAAGTTTGCATTAGTGAATACCCAAGATCTATTACCTAAACCTGGGCTCAAAAGTGGATAAAGTAGGAACAACATAATTGAAACAATTACTCTAAGCTAATGACATCATTGGCCTCTTCAAACTCCCAATTCGCCAGAACTTTGTTGGAATCATCGACTGCAATTGAGGCACTTGTTCTGCATGCTACATCTTCATTAAAAGAGATCACTGAGATAGTTGGTTTATATATCATCTCGGACGGGCCTGGGAAGGATTCTTTAATGTGTGGAATCTCCAATTTACTAGCCTTTTTGCCTTTTGCCAAGCTTGCTTTGTCTTTCATCTGGTCTTCTAGGGTAGGCTCATACCCTAACCCTTGGCGATTACAATTATCCAAAACCTTAATTGGACACGTAATTCCTTGTAAATGAGAGCCTAAACCTTTCCCTGGCATAAACCCACTCTTCGTCATGATTTTAGCCACGACGGAATTGATGTTGTGAGTACTATCGCAAATATCTTCAACCTCTAGGCTTTGAAAAGAAACTCCATGATCTTTCTCTGCAGCCTCAATATAAGGGAGTGAGCTTGGTTTGCTCACCATGATTTCCTCCTCTCCTTTAACTGCTATAATTCTCCCATCACTGATGAATTTAACCTTTTGATGTAAGGTAGAAGGAACAGCCCTAGCAGAATGAATCCATGGCCTTCCTAGCAGCATTGTGTAACTTGGGTCTATGTTCATGAGTTGGAAATCCACCTTAAACCTGCTTGGCCCTATCTCCAGGGAGAGACAAACGGATCCTAATACTTCCCGTCTTGATCCATCGAATGCTCTTACCACAATATTACTTTTATGTACACTTGAAGCTTCTAGTGATAATGATTCGAATGTGGAGAGCGGCAAGACATTTAACGCTGATCCTCCGTCAATTAATACTCTTGCGATTATGAACCCTTCACATTTCAAAGTGATGTGCAAAGCCTTGGCTTGGTGGACAGCGGTTTCTGTAACTTCCTCTTCCGAAAAGGAAATGGTAGAGGAGGCTTTTACAACATTCATTACACTTGCCACCTTCTCAGGGGTTATATTAGGCTGCACAAAAGCTTGATTCAACACTTCTTGCAATGCTTGGCGATGCGCTTCGGAACTCAAAATCAAAGAAAGTATGGAGATACGCGCTGGAGTTTTCTTCAATTGGTCCACAATGCTGTAATCACTTTGCTTCATAATCGATAAAAACTCATCTTCTAATTTTTCCATTTCTTTAGGATTGTCTTCCTTTGGCCTGTTAATACTTGCATTTTTCTCTTTTACCATTTTCCTAATGTAAGATGGTAAGTATGGTTTTCCACTTCGAGTAACACCCCCTTGGTTTGCCATTTCATTGCTTGTCCCGGCAATCAACGTTGGGTTTTTGTGGTTCTCCACAATGCTTTGATATTTCCACGGGACTGCTCGATCACTTTCATAGGGAAAGGGATGAGGCGTGCTTATGGTCAATGTTGGTTGTCTTACGTGAGGTACAAGATCTGCAGAGGCTTTGTTTATCACAAAAGAGACTGCCTGAACCCGTTCTTTTGGGCTCGAATTTTTAATGACAAGCTCAACATGTTTTTTTTCTACCATGCACACTTTGGCGTCTCCCTTCTTTACAGACACGATCCCTAACGCCATCATTTTTCTAACAGCTCCTTTAAACTGTTCACAACTTTCTATGTCATGGCCTATTTTCTCCTGATGATATTCACAGTATCCAGGCATTTGATCACTGATATTATTCGTGAGGAGCATTTCTCGCATATAGCCATACTCCTTTAAATGAGCATAAAGCTCATTCATAGGCATCCTGATCCTTGCGGAGCTTTTGAAGCACGCATCTTCTTCTTCAATAGCGTTGACTCGTTTTTCGTGATTTGGGAGTGGATCAGTAGTAAGGGTAGAGCTTCCCTCTTCTTTAAGCTGGATATGGTTAGAATCAACTAGGTCTAGCACATTCCTTTTAAACGTCACACAGTCTTCTATTGAGTGCCCAGGTGCACCCATGTGGTATTCACAAACAACATTTGGATTATACCATGCCGGGTAAGGCGGACCAAGAGGCTTATAAGGTCGCGGACCTAATAATTGGGCTGTCAAAAGTTTATGGTACAATTCAGCATTTGTTAATCCAAAATTGGGCCATGGGCGACTATCCCTGGATTGGACATTTCTCCTCTCTCCATCCTGTCCGTGCTTGTTAGGCCTGAACCCAAATTGTTGCTGTCTTTGATTCCTTCCCTCTACTTGATAAGGGACTTGAGAATTGGTAGCTGCTTGTCTTATAGGTTGAATATAGTTCACATTCCCTTCTTTCTTTTTTTGGTCATAGTTCTTTCGTGAACTACTTTCAGCTTGAGAAGTGGCTATCTTCCCTTCTCGTATGTCTATGTCAATCCTTTCCCCAATTACCATTAAATCAGCAAAATCAGTGACATGTGTTCCTATCATGTGTTGGTAAAATGGCTTAGGCAACGCACGGATGAAGTACGAGCAAAGTTCGGAATTAACCATTGGAGGTTGCACTTGCGAAGCCACTATTCTCCATCTTTGAGCATATTCTTTGAATGACTCTGATGATTTCTTGGTCATTGCTTTCAATTGTTCTCTGGTCGGAGCAGTATCAAGATTGAACTTGTATTGTCTCATGAAAACATCCACAAGGTCTTTCCATCTTTTGATCTTGGTTTGGTCTAGTTGCATGTACCAAGTCAATGCGGCTCCAGTTAAGCTTTCAGGAAAGAAGTTTATCAGAAACTTCTCATCTTGTGACCATATGGACATCTTTGTGCAATAGGCCCTCAAATGATAAATTGGGTTACTTGTACCATCATATTTATCGAAGCTTGGCATCTTGAATTTCTTGGGAACATCAATTTCTGGGGTCAAACATAATTCTTTCAAGTCTAAGGAACCCCACGTGTTTGATCCTTGAAGAGCCTTCAATTGATCTTTCATCTCTCCAAGTTCTTCTTTCAACTCCTTCTCTTTATGTAGCACTTGTGGGATTTGGAACATGTAGGCATGATCTTCCCCAGGACCATCCGGTATGTTAAAGGCCCCTATCCCAGAATCTTGTTTCTCTGGCGTGGGTACTTTAGGATCTGATCCTCTGTTTGGCTCAATTGTTCTATTAACCGCGTTCTCATCTGCTACGGTATTCCGTGGTGGGTTATCATCACTCCGTCCTTTTAGAGCCTCTGTTAGCAATTTCATCATGTCACTTATTTCGGCCATTTTAGACTCCACTGCAGACATCCGATCATTTAAGGTTGCTGACTCATTCACGTTTGAATTTTCCATTGCACGACTACGCGATCGTGTGTTGTATGCTCGAGTGGTGGGAATCTGGTCAACCGAGTTTTTCTTTCGAGGCGCAATGTTGGCTTACCTGTGTAACATAATAATTAATTTTAATAAGTTTTACCTTTACGTTTGTTTCGTAAGATATCCAGCATTGTGTAGACATAAGGGTTTCACGACACTGGCACCCTTTAAATTCCTCCAGAAATTTATTATTTCATAGGGGATTTAAAGTTGACCATTGAATTAGATGGACATTGGATCCTATCGAAATTCAAGGTCTTAAGAAAATGATGGTAGTACAAATAATCAACAATTTCACAACCACAAAGCGTCATGTAGATCCTCATACAATGATTCAAATGTTAATACAGATTTAGAACTTCGTCACGCTATTGAGTTCTTTTACAATTTCATTGCACAAATGGAAGAATTCAACAATCTCTAATGGAGTTCCCCAGGGAGAACCATGCCTTCAGCTTGCTTAAATGCTCTTGCAAATTCTGGAATTTTGTCATTAGCCAAATCAATTATCTGCCTACATTTTAACATCCACTCTTTGGTTTCTTCTGTTTGATCAAGGCAAAGTGATTTCCACTCTTCTAAGACTTCATTTTGTTGATTAAGCCTCTGAACAAAGTTCTGTGCTGTCTCAGCTGCACTTCCTCTCACCCTGGCTAGTTCATTCACCTTCCTTTCCAATTGTCTTGTGAGCGTATTGATTTCTTGCTGCATCTCCTCAATGGGTCTGATGTCTTGTAATTCCTTCTTCAATGCATCATTTTCCCTGACTATTTTGACAAGTCTTGCTTTAGTACTTTGAACTTTGTTATCACTAGTTTGCACTTCCCTTTTCAGTTTGGCATTTTCCTTTTTCAATTTCTTAGTCTCAGGTGTTTCTTCAAGGTTATGCCCTTCTCTTTCCTTTGCTAGCTTCCTCCGTAACTCAACGCATTCGTTTTGGTATTTTTCCAATTCTTCTTTATTCTTAGACTCTGAGCTAGCAAGCGCTTGTAACTCATTTTCCTTCATCTTCAAGCATTCAACCAATTGCCCATTAATCTCTTTCAAGTCATTGCCTAACAAGGGATTTTGAGGATGAAATAAAGGATTTGCTCCTTGAATCATACTCTTCAGCCAAGTAGTGTATTCTGGACTTGAGTTTACTACACGTATCCCTAGCTCAATCTTCCCTTTGTACCTATCTCTTGCCATGCTTCTTTGACATTCTGGTTTGATAACTTTGTCCCATCCTCCTTATGTAGAAAGTATAACTCCTGCACCTCTTTCTTAGAAGGAACATTTTGCTTATAGGCCAGTTGCCTTAACGCTAAGGAAGGGTTATAGTTGATACACCCTCTGGGTCCCATTAAAGGCACATTCGGAAAGTCACCACAATGGTAAATAACCTCCTCTTTCCACCACCAGTCTAGTTTCCATAAAATGGAACTTTCTTTAAGTTCTGAGAAGGTTCTTTTCCAATCCATGTAGCTCATTCCGTCAATCACGAATTGGCCTTTAAAAGACATGAGTGGATTACTGTCTGAGTCGTTCTTCTTTCTGAAAGGAAGCGTCTTTCCATAAAGGTGGCCAAGCATCCATAAATCCAGTAATGCAATACAACAATTGACCTTTCCTTTCCCTTTATCGTGACATTGAGTTAAGGTCAAGTACGTTTCTGCCAAGATTGCTGGTACTGGATTCACGTTATGGTATTCCACCATTTGGAATACACTAATGGCTCCTAAGTCAATTATGCCAATTGATGATGGAAACAGGATTATTCCATATATGCATAAGGCAAAGACTCTGCAAAATGTAACCCAAGCCTCTTTTCCTGCCAAAACTTTCAAGTGGGCTTCTACATCAGCTCTTGAGATTCCCTCTGTTTGTCCTGGGCAAACCATTCGTACCTTTTCCTTAGGAATTTCCAAAATTTTCGCTATCGTGCCTCGAGATGGTAAATATCCAGGATAAAGATATACTGCCATGTTCTCCTTAAGGGGCATTCTCAAAATTTCTCCATATTCTTCCAAAGTCGGTGCCATTTGGAAGTCTTGAAATGTGAAACATCTTAACGAGGCATCCCAATATTGGCTTAATTCCATTATTGCATCATTATGTATTGTGACTGACAGAAGATCCAAGATATTTCCATATTTCCTTTTAAAATCTTGCATAATCTTCCCTTTGATATGACGGCTCAACTCAATTAAGGTTTCCAGCGGCTCAACTTTTACAGATAATTTGATCCCTTTTCCCTGATATAATTTTCCAGTATGACTTAGATTTGTACTACCTTCGAGTGCCATTTATCCCTTATGCCAATTTCACAAAGATTCTGGATAACTCACGGTTCCTGTTAATCAAAACAAAGGTTAATAATATACAATTCTCATAATTTTAGCAAGCTATCTGGCTCACTTTTTTGAAAACCCTCTCCTCTAGATACTTATTGCACCATAGGGAGATGGAGTAAACAATTAATGGACGAGAGGCTTAAATCCCCTACATGATTAATGTTGAAAGGTTTAGCCTTACAATCTTATTTTTGAGAAAAGAGAAAAAAAATGATAAAAATGATTTTGATAATAGATATGCAAGGAAAAAATCCATTCTCTCCTCAATGTGCTTATTGCCCCATAGGGAGAAAGGGATTAATTAGCCTATGTGCAGCTAAAACTGACACATGGCTAAAGTCTCAACTTTAAAAATGAAATAACTCAATGACAAGAGAAATTATTTAATTTGTGGTTTTTTTTAAAAAAATGCGAATACTTTATGATGACATGCTATGACAATGATGCAATAAAAGATCAATACTCTCATCCTGCGTCCTATTCAGGGAGACTTAAGTTCATAATCGGGTGCTCACTAGAATGGTTGGCTACTAGCTGTTGTCTGAAACGTGTAATTCACGGGTGGATGTATATTCCTAAAAGGCTCCCAAGATGCCCTCACACAAAGGTGAAGACCTTACTTAATAATTTTGGCCCTCCAAGAACATAAGCTCTACAGGGACCAAATTTATTAGGCAAGTAACAGCTTGGGTGAGGTATTCATGGTAACCTCCGAGAGTTCAAAAACTCCACAGGGAAACCACTACTAACCTCTACTAACCTATAGTACTCACAGACCCGGGTATAGGGCCCAAAATATGTGTGTGTCAAATTGTGTAAGTGTATAGTGTGATGAGAGCATGCAAGCATGCTATCTTATTCTCATATGCTACCCAACTCCCAACTTTTAATCAGATCAAATAGAGAAACAAATATATGTACAAATAAAAGTCATCTATCTTAAGGTTTATTCCGCATGTTATCTACCTTAAAAACATGTTATAAAATACAAAAGGAAAGAGAAAAGGGAAAAAGAGAAAGGAACAAGGGACACATAAATTTAAAGGGATAATAAAGATAAACCATATTATATTTTGAGCATAACAGACTTATAGGCTTGACTCTCTAACTGTCCCCAGTGGAGTCGCCAACTGTCGCACCCGGAAAAAATGCGACGCGGACGGCGCGCGAGCGGAGGTCCCGGCCTTCGCGGCGGGAACCGGATCGAACGAGGAGTCGCCACCAAGATTTTGAGGTAAATCTCGGGAAACCGATTAAATGGAGGATAAGGGTGATCTGCGAAATCAGAGAATAGGTTCGGGAGTCGGTTGAGTGTGGGGAAGGTGTTAGGCACCCCACAACACCCGTTCGTGAGAACGGTTACCTGAAGTTTGTTGTGCTCTATTAATATGGTTTTATAATTATTTTAATTATCCCTTTTATATTCATGTGTTTGATAAAAATGAGTGAGAAATGTTTATTTATTTACGAGGGAGGACGGACTTGACTCAGAATCTGACTCTGAGGCCTACGTACCCTGTGATGGGGATCAAAGTCCACGTAGTTCGGGCTTAAAAGTTTGTCGGTAAAAATATTTTTTGAAGAGAAATTAATTAGAAATAACTCACCATTTTGCAAATAAAACAATTTCTGAAATTTTGATATGTGTGTTTTAAATTGCAAAAGGTAATTTAATTTTAATTATTTTCTCAATTTTTGAATTTTGAATAAAGAAATGAAAGGGTTTAAAATTATTTTTCTTTATATTTTATGATTAGAAATTTAATTGCAGTACCTGTAGAACCTTATTGATTCATACGGTAATGCAATTGCTCTAAGTATCTGCGAAGATTCTGAAATCTCACATGATAGAAGAGTTTGGCAATTTAATTTATTTATTTATATTCTTATGTACATTTTAAGTATCAAAAATATATTTTAAGTATGTATATACATGTTTTGAAGAATTTTAATCATCATACCTGCAAAGCCTTATTGACTTATACGGTAATATGATTATCCTAAATATCTACGGAGATTCTAAAATCTCACACGAGACAGGAATTAAATTTAATTAATTGATTTAATTAATTATATAATATATATGTATATATATTTTAAAAACTAAATCGTTATATCCGCAGAGTCTTATTGACTCACACGATAATACGATGATCTTAGAAGCCTACGGAGATTCAAAAATTTCACGTGGCTAAAAGATATAATTGGTAAATATGGTTACAATTTAAATACATTTAATTTGGTTAATTAAGTTTCTTAAATTGTATATTATATGATTATTTGCAAAAATTACTTATTTATTACAAAAATTGAAAATCACTATATCTACGAGGACTTACTGTCCCACATAATAATGTGACTAATTTAAGTTCCTACGAAGATTCTTAAAATCTCACATGGAACTTAAATATTTAGTATAAAGAGAGAGTTAATTTTAATAATGGGCCTTTAGAACCCGTATAAGTATCTGCAAAATTGATCCTCATACTTGTAAAATCTTATTGATCTTTATGGTATGAGATCATTTTAAATTCCTGTAAAAATTCTCAAAATCTCCTGTTTTAAGTTTTAAAAAAAATATATATGTGCTTAGCATATGAGCATAAAAATAAATACGTATATTCGAGACTTATTCATCTGGATATAAAATTCATAGAAGCAATTAATAAGGTGTGAACTAACCTTACACACGCTCCCGCGATGCCCGTAACTGAGAAAGGAAGAGGAGATGAAGACACAGAGGAGAACGAAGTGCACCGTCAGTGATGGCAGTAGCCCCTGCAAACTTGAACGGCGGATGAAGAAGGTGTGAGTTTGACGAAGAGCGGGAAGTTCACGCGGATGAAGGAGGAGAGAAAGATGATGAGCAGAGCTTTAGGTGATTCTCTCCCTTTCCTTCCACACTTTCTCTCTCTCTCCAGTTGCTCTGTTATTCTTTTCGTCTCCAGTCTTCGCTCGTCCTCGTGCTCTCTCTCAGTTCTCCTATGCTCTGTTTTTACTTCTGATCTCCTTCTTCCAGTTTTTCTCGCCTCGTTTCTCCATTTTTCCTCTCCTTTTCTGCTGCTTCTTCTCTGCTCTATTTTCTTTCTCTCTTCTCTTCCTCTCCCGGACTCTCTCCTCTGTCTCTGTTTTTTGTTTTCAGTCCTCTCGGTCTTTCTTTTTCTGTTTCACCTCCTCCGTCTCCTCCTCTTTTCTCCCAGCCCTGTCACTCCTTATATAGAGGATGGAAGAGCTGAATGATTACTCCCTTTCTCTGCTTCTTCCTTTTCCCTTCTCTTCCGCTGCATTTTCTGCGTGCGCCGAAAGCTCTCTGCTCTGTTTTCATTTCTGCATGGCTCTTCTTTTTCTTTGCGTGTGGGTGCTGCCTTTCTGCTTCCCTTTTTCTTCTGTCGTGTCCATGCCTCTACTTTTTCTGTGTGTGTTTCGTATGTGTTGGTGCTGTGTTTTTCTTTCTGCTTTCTCGTGTACGTGCATGTTTCTATTTCCTTTCATTGTGCGTCTCTGCTTGTTTTTTTTGTGTGTTCTCTGTGTAGCTGTGGCTGTGCGTTGACGTGTTCTGGTTTCTCTGCATGGCTGAAAGTTCCTTTTTTCTGCGTCTGCTCGTGCGTTTTTCCGGCGTTCTCTTCGTGCATGCGTGGCTGACTGTTCTCTCTCTCGTTTTCCTTCTTTTTGTCTGTTTCATGTCTGCTGTGTTTTTGTTGCTGAAGCTGGGCAGTTCAAATTGGCATGCACGTGATACTACCTCTTTTTATTTTATTTTATTATTAATTATTCAATTCATAGTATTTTTTTTAATTAATTTTCTTTTAAGAGAAGGGTTATCTAAGGTAAAAGGAGAGAGGATTTTTTGTTAGATGATGATGATTATTATTATTATTATTATTATTATAATCCTAAAAAGGATTAAATTTTTTGTATTTTTTATATATTTTTTGGTTATTTATTATTATTTTTAAAAATGCCCGGACAAAATACGGTGTTCACAGAAAAGAACTCTTAATAAGTTTAAGAACCTACCCTATACAGGTAAGCTTAATTGCTTTCAGTATGTGGACTAAATTATACAGTTCCATGTTTGTGAAATTCAAACACTCCTCTGAAACGGATTAGTAAATTGGAAGCTTACTAACAATTCTCTTAACAAGAAACACCGTCTGCTCATTCCAAAATGCGAAATGTTCTCAAATTTTTGGACAATGTTATCGTTCTTTAAAAAATTAAAACTGTGCCAGTTTATAGATCATTGTAAAATTATAAACAGCAACATGGATTGCAGGAGGTCAATGGGTCACTAGATAGACCAGCTACATAAATACAAGATGTTATTAGAACGTTTGGTGTATTGTTAACCAAAAAGTATTGTACACGTATAAAACATTCTCACAAAATCAAAATGTGCAACAGCACGACCCTTCAGTAGTCTTCACCTAAGTTAGGTATTCAATAATGTGTCCTTCACAAAAGTTCCATGTTCACGGACAACTCTAGGTTATTACAGCATGAAAACAAGAATCTATTAATCACAAGTAATTCAGCAGCTCAGTGATTAAAAACTGGAGTAACAACCTTTTTTGGGGGGTTTTGGGGGGGGGGGGAGGACAAACTTAGTATAACCATTCAACCAAATCATGATTAATCAATTAAACCGCACCACTCAACAATCACTTGCAGAACAGAATCAATCAATCATTCAAAACCGGCCTTCAAAACCGGCCCAATCTGTAACGTTAAATTTGAGATGGAGTAAAAAATTCCAGGTTCTTGTAATCTATTGCATGCCAAATTTGTCCTTACTTGGAACATAAATAGGGTACCAAACTCCCACGTGATTTGTAGGGACAATTTTAAAACAATAAAATGATCAAAACTTGAAAAGCATATCACCATTTCAACATATCTTTTCGAACTACTTATGACACCAATATTCATCAGAAGTAATAAACAAGCGTAAAACCAGCAAAACAAACCAATCACATAGGAAACGAAAAACAGAGCAAAATGGCTTGTTGAACTGCAGTTAATGAGTTAAGAAATCTAAATACTATGCCCATCAGCACAGCTCTTGTACAATGATACATGTGCAGTGTTTTCTTAAAATCATACAACTTTCTCCTTCTCAACAACATCAAAATTGCTTCCTTTTATTTCTAAAAAGATTATCCCTTTTAACATAAACATAAAAGAGAGCAAGGAAAGCCCCCGCAGAAAATGAAACTGACGTCCAAGGAAATGGAGGATCCTTAAAGCACACAAGGGATGCCTCTATTTCTTGGGAGGCATGATAGACGATAGAGTGAATGGCATACAGATCATGATCAGATGACCTCAAGTAAAACAAAGCCTTCTCATAATCCACATGTGACAAAGCAGAAATCACTTTGTCCAGCTTGTACTTGAAAAGATTCCATCTTTGGATGAACTCATCGTGCTGCTTTTGCTTGAGCAGATTTCTGTCTCCACCATGTGTTTGTATGGACTCAAGAACATCGATAGCACTGGTTTACACTGTAATTCAAGGATGTCAACAGAACATTTCTCCTTGCCGCATCTTTCTGCACAAAAGACAGGGATGAAGTTTCTGAGAATGGCCCAAATGGAGTCTGCCCTATACTCCATGTGTAATCGACCAATGTATTGTTGTGTCTCGGGCTCCATGACAAATGTGTTTGGGGACACTCCCCACATGCTCTGTAGAATTGATCCAACAAGTGGTCGTTCAAGTTCCCTAGTTTGTGTGAATACATGGCGACCATTGCAGCTATAATCACTTACAGTCTGAGTGTTCTTTGTCCTCACGGCAATAACCATATCTTTGAAAGCCACAGATTGGTGATAACCGATCAAGCAAAACAACTGTGTTGTAATCTAAGTCAAACACATAAACAGGAATGACCCTGCCAAAATCCTCCTCAGGCACTTCAGCTGCTTTCCTGAACTCCTCGCCGATTCAGACAATATCTGGTGAAGACGCTTAGAGTCCAAATACTCACTCACTATCAAAGTGTAGTTATCAAACAAGAACCTCGAAGTGTAGGAATTAAACGACCTTGAAATAGCAAACGAGCAAATTGGGCAACCAGAATATTCCACTTCGTAAGTCTTAAAACTCAAAGACTGGTCACCTAACAAGAGCCCGTTATCAACAAACTCGTCCCTGAACGTCTTCTCAATAGATTTCCAATCCAGACCATTTGTATCCTTCCCCGCAAAGCCATATACATGTATGAACTGAACCATCAACGAATTCTCAAAAGGAACTGGAATTCTCAAAGAAGCACAAGAAAAACCTGATATGCACTCCAGATCAATGAAGCCAAATCCGCAAGCAATGCTTTCTGCGACTTGGGCCGACCATGAAGTGCGGCCAGAGGATGAAACTCGCCTCTGGGCAAAACACCATCTCCTGAAATTGCCGGACCGTAATCCACAGGACCTGCAACCCAAATCAATCCACACGTATATCTCTTTCCCGGTCCATATACTCCCCAAACACTTTGTGACACCAGGGGAGGAATCCCCAGACCCGTAATTATAAGCATATGGCCTCGACTGGGCGCCTAAATTGAGGAGATATATATAAACCCCTTCGACGGGTTTTTCCTTCTCGAAGTCTTGCTTGATGATCTGATCCACGGAAGTATGAGGAATAGAGAGAAGAGGGGATCTGAGGCTCGATGGGGTTTCGGCAATCTCAGATTTGATTTTATCGGAGAGAACGGAAGCTAAGAAGAAGAATGGGAGACGGAGAGATGGAGCTCATGCCTGAGAGAGAGACGGTGGTTGTGGTGGTCGAAGGGGGTAATGACGTGGAAGTGGTTGGAAGGCTGGGAAGCGGAGAGGAACGAGTTTAGGAGGGAAGACGAATCGGAAGGAAAATCGCCGACGAGACGGACGTGGACAGAGAGAGGCAGTGAGAGAGAGAGAAGGGACGAAATGAGGGAAGGGATATGAGGATGAGAGTGGGAAAGAGAAAGGGATCGCTTGATAGAGGAGGGAAGGGAGAGGAAGGAGTCGTTGGAGGCTTGAGGGTCGACACGAGCTTGATGGGCAAGAAAGGAGTCGAGACCTATGATAGGAGCGGCAGTGACAGTAGCTGTGAGGAAAACGAAGACGGTGGTGATGAAGGCGGCGATGGCGGGCATCTTCAGCCGCTGGAGGCACTGAGCAGGGCTTGATTTGTGAGAGGACTGTGAAGTCAAGCGCCGGCGGTGAGACATCGCCGCCAGCTCTTTATTGTCTTGCCGATGGGTCGCCGAAGAAAGGTTACTGAAATGAGTAATTTTGCGGGCGGAAGACTGCGCTTTTTTAATATAAACGCAGAAAGCAAAGAAAGTCTAACGATCCCGCCCCCTCCAAAAAAAACCCCAACCCAATGAATTATCTTTTTTTTTTTTACCAGCTAATTATGTTTTATCATTTTTATTTATGCATATACAAACAAAAATGGCTAATATTGTTGGGAAAGAAAAAGAAACGGATGGGATTAAAATTGGGCAATTTTCAATTTTCACCCTAAAGAAAAAGAAATGCATGATAAAATAAAATGATATCTGCCAACATAAATCAGAGAAATTGTGCGTGAAAGTATGAGAAAGAAAACAATGGCATGAGAAAAATGAATCTTGTTCCGTTGATCGGTTGTTTCCCCTGCTTGATAATGGAAGAAATTTCGTTCTCTCTCCTGTTGCAAGCTTATACGGTATCTAAAATCAGAGAAATGGACTTGTACCCAACAAAAATCACAGGAATGGACTTATGGACAATTTTATATTTATATATATATATATATATATATATCATCCCTTCCTTCATTTTTTAATCATGATTATTTATATCATTGTATTAAAGGAGTTCTCTGAGATCACATCTAATAAATTTAAAAAAAAATTGTCTTTAAAAACAAGTTATGTCATATTTTAGTATATGTTGAGCTTTAAAAGGATAATATGGACATAAAGTTAGAATATTAAAGATAAAAATATTAAAATAAATAGGCGAGCATACATTAAAAAATAATCCAAAATAAATATATATCAAAAAGTGAATATAATATCTATTAAAAAATTATAAAAAATTATTTAAAATAATTTGAACATATAAAAAAAAGGGTTGTGAGAGGCGCTAATAAAAACAATGAAATATTTTTTTCGTTAAAAAATATAAGACATTTTTTTAAAGAGTTAAATGTTAAAAAATATTAGGCATTTTTTAGTCTTTCAAAATGTAACCATTACCTCTCTTTTTTAAAAGTATCCTATTGATGAATGACTTTATATTTATGGTAAGTATTTAATAGAGATAAATATATAAAATAAAATTAATTTAAAAATAAATAATTATTTTATTAAGAAAAAAAATTTAATTAAAAATAATATATTTTTTAATAGAGAAAGTGTATAATTTTGAGGCTTTATGGTGACAAAGAAAGATTTAAAAAGCACATACTAAAATTGTTAAATAAAACGTTTTAATTAATAATATTTTTAAAAATTTGATTCACAATAGGGAATAATAATATCATACCATCTGCTATGGGCTGCTTCTTGATAGATCATCGGAAATGTCCTGTCACCCACTCTGCCTTCCTTTTACTCTGAAATGACGCCTCACAGCCTATGGATGCTCGTCTCTAGCCCACTTGCTCCGCTTTCGGCTCTCTGCTGTCTTTAGTTTGTCCGTTCTTCTTCATTTTATCCATTTTTTTTCCTTTATTAATTATATATTATTTTAAAAAAATTTACATACTTAACCTCATATAATTAATAAATTTATTTTTAATTAAATCAAAATATATAAATTTTTTATAAATTATTTATTCTACAATAACTCTTGTATTAAAATTTACTTATATTAAATATAAATATATTAAATATATAAGACTAAATATATATATATATATATATATTTTACATAGGATCCACTTATATTAATTTAAAGGTTTCACTAATCTGGTTTTACCGTTTTAGTTTCTGTTATTTTTTTGCCAACAATTTTTATTGGTAAGAGTTTATATATAATGATTTTTTTTTAATAAAGCACGATCTATATATTATGTTTTGATAATGACATGATAAACTAGGCAATTATCTAAATTTGAGGACGCCTATTTCCAAGTATATTGAATGCATTTATCATTTGTGGGTTGAAAATTCTGATAATAACTTCATATAATAACCTCATAGAAGTTTGCTTTCCCACTATTTTGTTCGTTGAAGGGTATCTCCATTTTCAAATATAAATAAGATTTTACCCCAGCCTTAAATGCATGGAGAAGACATTAAAAAAAAAAATGCACGTTTTATATGGTGAAATGGGATTGTCCCGTAACTTTTATTCACATTTCATATATATCCAGCAACAGCCCGGGAATTGATTTTTTTTTTTCTAGGAAAATAAAACACAAGCACATCATTTCGAACTAATAGAGTACAATTTATGTACTCTAGCGAGGTTTCAATATCAGATATTTAGATATAATGATATATTGGTGATTCTGATGATGCCAGCATATGTGCTCAACCACGGGGAGATTTTCTCACTATGTCGAGTAGACGAAATGTTGAACCCGCGACGAATGAAGGGACAAAAACATGAAGAAACAATCACGATTGTATAAAAGCTAACGTATCCTGGTAATGGTACAGAACCAAATTTCCGGGAACCATGAACTTTTGGACTAGGATTGCCAATCTGAAGTGATACGATCAGATGAAGAATCCCAAAATTTGGATGTCTGGGTCTGGTCCTCTTCCAGTTTCATGACAGAACTCGAAGCGTTACTGAAGTCCCTAAAGCGCAGAATTCCCATTTCTTCACAGTAGCTAGCAGTGGCTATTCTACACCCATCTACTGCCATTGCACCACAGCCAGACCTGCTGCCATGAGCTTCTTTTTCCCCACAGCAGCAACTCAAGGACTTTATTTGCGCGCCCGTATCAACCTCCCAAACATTGATGCATGGATCTTGAGGGCCTCCAGTTAAAATTTTGTACGGATCCATGTGCAGTAATGTAACTGGCCCACAATGTCCGTCCAACTCCGCTACTGGCTCTTCTTGGTTTCTTCTAATATCCCAAAGCATTGCTCTGCAGCATCATGATAAGTTTTGCTCAGTGCTGATCCATTAATAATACTGGCTTAGGGTGAACTGGATATTTCACTGGGTTTTAGTCATTTTCTTAGACAATACAGCTAAGTCAAGAGAGCAGTCTGCCAACGAAAATTATTACAGCAGTAAATGAGCTTATTCACTCTTACCTGCCATCACCGCCCGTGCAGATTAAAGATTTTGAAGGAACAATATCAAATGAATATAGCTTTGGCCGATGTACTGCTGCAGTCGTAACTTTCCGCATTGTCCTTAAGTCAACAGCAGTGACAGAAGAACCAGCTCCAATATACAATAGCGATTCCTGGCATTGCATGCTCACAGGTGCACCAGCAACAGAAGTCATTCCTACACAGCAGGATGAACGAACAGCCGATGATGTGGTTGTATCCCAAACCCTCACCTGATACAAGTTCCATATTATAAAAGGATAGTAAAAACAATCTTTATAAATCGGTTCAGAGTCATTAGATTTTTAGCAAGGCTGATCAAGAACAAATGAATGAAAACTCACAGTTTTCATCAATTGTAAAGGCATGGCATTTAGACTAAAAGCATGGAAACACTTCCAGTGCCAACAAAATTGAACCCATAAATCATAATTAACATACATTCATTGCATTGCCAATCAAATTGTAGGTAATGTTCCTATACTAGACAGGCACAGATGTTCAAGTCTGAAATGAAATCATCAACTATTGGCTCCATAACTCTTTTTTACTTCCATTAGGAAAACTGTTCAAAATGAATAAAATGAACCTAAAAATAATCAATTCCTTTTTACAACAACAATCACTTCTATAATTTCCTGTAATGCATTTATTTTGACCATAAATGTTATCTACTCAGCAAGCAAGCTAGATTTGACCTAAAGAAAATTGTCAGTAGATTAGCTGAATTCAAATATCAAATTGAATGCTAAGTAAATAAATCGAAACAGTAGTAAACAGGAAAACAAAGAGCACCTTCGAATCTCTTGAAATGCTTGCCAAAAGAGAATTTCTGTGCCTGAAAGTTGGATAGGAAGGATATATTATATCACTATTATTGAAGGAAATGATTAACATGGACCTGAAGATTCCAATTTCCAAGAGAAAGACATCAACGCACTAAATTTAATAAGCACAATCAATAATGACCTCATTTTCTTTTTCAAATTTGTCTGTTGAACTAAATATGCAGAACATTTTATACATAACCTTTTCCCCCTCTTGAGCAATATTCGATTACCAAAGTTACAAAACATAATTCTAAAATTGCATCCTGAATAAACATTACTTTCTATTCTATTCACAATGTATGAATCATAGTAATTCTCCCAACGAATCAAGGTATGCATTCCATAGAAATAAAAATTTGCTAAAACTCTATAAACAGATAAATTCAGTCAAATATATTTCAACCTGATAAGTGTTCAATCAAAATCCATATAGAAAGATTCAATCAGAGTATCAGACAATGCATATCTGTATACAAGAATGGCTGGTCTGCTAGAAGATAGAAAATACAAGCAGGGAAACATAAGAAACCTTAAAACCATTCAGTTGAAATCAGACTTACAAATGTATTCATGAACACATAAATACAAATGACTCTTTCAGATGGCATTTTTCCAACTTTGAACAAGAACGGGTTGATTACATTTTAGAATGCATATATCGTCTCCTTGACCAAGACTTAGCCAGCCAAGGTTAAAAGCTCAAGGTGAGAAAATTGAATAAATTCAATTTATCCTCCATGAAGTATTACTAATAAAGTATAAACAATATTATCATAACATTTTGGTGCGCGGGGAAGCACAGCCCCAAAAAAATTTACTTTCATACCCAGCAACTACTATAAAATTTACGGCCTTCTCATGTCCATAGAGTGTAGCCTTTAAAGCATGCTGCCCTCGTTTTCCACTTGAACTAAGAGACCAGAGGCGCACAGTACCATCATCCCCTCCACTTGCCAATACCTTGATATTATCCTCTCCCAATAATTTATTTGATAGGGACAATACTGGACCATTGTGACCTCTAAAGCATCTTTGGCAAGAACCCTAAAAGCATAAATAACTGCAGCTTTCAGGGAATTGCAATAAGTATACAATGAACAACATTGCCAAAGGCAAAAACCCAAACAAAAAAAAAAAAAGATTTCAAAGAGCTGGCAAAAGTGAACATAAGCATAAATCCTAAAAATGCAAACAAATAGCCTAAATATTTGATTTGTAACATGAGAATAACAAACTTCGCCAAAATCTAAAACATACATTAGTCTATTAAAATTTTCCTCACTTTTTAGAACAATATAAATGTTCACGCATATTGGCATTTATTCCAATGGAACAAAAAAAAAACAAACACATCCATTTAAATGAAATGAATAAATAATTGAAGCTCAGATTGCACTTCAGCAAACTTCTTGCTAGGCACATGGGACAAGCACCTATTTAAGATATCTTTCCATAACCTGAAAAGAGAATTTCTTACCTATTTTCTCCAGGAAACTAGGTGACAGAAAATAATTTCCCCATCAAGGTCTCAGCTCATATAACCCAGGAAACAGGACAACATCAGTAGCAAAGTCACAGAGTGTTTAGAAGAAAAATATAAAACAGAAAAACCAGATTTGGAAATTTGGTTCTGCCAGCACTTCCCCAAACCCTTCTCTAACTTCTACCCAGGAAACTCTCTTTTATTCAGGTTTTAACTGTCTAGCAAGTAACCAACCCTCTTATGGCACCTGTCACAAACAGAATAGACAGCAAATTTCCCACTTTCTCCCACCCTCATTCAGTTACAATCTTATCTTTTTCCATCTTCCTCTTTCCCAATACACATTTCCAATGTAAAGTCTAACACTTAGCTAAGCCCTCACTTCCCCACAACATCTCCACCACTCTTGACTGGGAACAGATCTCCAGATATCAGTTATGCAGTGGCAACTATCAAGAACCAGATAGAGAAGAATGTCTACATCTTTGACAAAAGAATAAGGTTTTCATGGAAAAAAATATGGTGACCCTAAATAAGATGAGCATAGGTGCAGTAAAAATGTAACAGATGAAAAATAAGAATTCATTTTAGAGGAATAGATAAAATTGGACTGGCAAACATCTTCATTCCATAACCTTTATCTCAAATTTGCGACAAAAGACAAAAATCAAGTGAAAATACCAGCAGAAGACATGTTATATCTTACAAATTAAATGTATTTTGCTACAAGTTTGAACTTTAACTTTTACTTCAAAATATAGGAAATGAGTTAATGAAATCATTGGAAAGTATGAAGGTAACTTATTCTGTTTCATCAGTACTTTTCAATAGTTTCTCCAATCCTCATATGTTCCATCATATTTACCCAGCACTATCAGGTGCTTACAACAAACTTTTCATCTACTCTGTTTTTCCATATTTACAACGGAGCATGCCATGAATATGTAATTTAATGATATTTAAGGCATCAACCATTTATACATACATAAAAGATGAAGGCTTCATACAATGTTAGAGAGATATACCTTTCGCCACAGACGAATGGAGTGATCGCAGCTAGATGTAACCAAAACTTTTTGCTCCCTTTCTGTTTCACCTCGAAACAAGGATATGTCATTAAGGAAAAACAACCTGCATTTTATTATTAGATTTCAGACGCAAGCCAACCTTTCCCTGTTCATGCAGCTACATTTTTAGGTGGGCAAAAATTTGAATGAACTATCATATTGATACCCTGAATACGATAAATGGATTTTAAATGTAAATTTACTGATCACTTTTGGCAACTCAAGGAAAGGTGTTGTTGATGGAAACACAAGCCATTGGAAATATTGACTTGACTTTATCATCACTACAATAAATTCTTCTATTTCAAACTCTTGTGTTGTCGCAGATTTCTTTGAATGCATATTTAGCATCAGTGAATTTCGTTTTTCTTTTCTTTTCCTTTCTTTTTTTCTTTTTCTTTTGAGGGTGCTGATGGAATAAAAATGAGAA